CACTCCCTTCGCCCCCCGGCTCACCGCCTGCTCAGACTGACCACAACGCCCGACGACCGCGGGCCTGCGGCCGCCCCACGTGGTGGCGCCCCGTTGGGGCGCGGTTTGACGCCGGCCGGCGAGGACGTCTTCTACCGGCGGGGCGTGCTCACGCCGGAGCAGCAGGGGCAGGTCGAGGCGGGGGGCGCCGCGGGCTGGGGCGGCCGCAGTGGTCAGGGGCAACGGTATCGGCGTCACCCGAACGTCCCAGACATAGCCCTCGCCGACCCTCGGGACCGTCAAAAAAACGACTCGGGATGAAGAACTGGTCCCAGGGAAGTGGTCGGGAGGTCGGGGGCCAGCGTCTCGAAATAATCGAGACGTCGGATGTCTGGGATGCCAATACTATGTGTGCGTCGCCCCCCCAGGGGCGACGCGCCCACCGAGAAATCTCATAGTCTCATAGTGTATGCATCGTGGCGGGCGCTTTCTGGCCACGCCGCTCGGGAAACGATATCCTACACTATGGCTGTACTGCACGTTCGGGTCGGACGCGCGCACCTCCAGGGAGAACAGTATAGTACTAGTATGTCACTTGTGCGTCCCACGATAGGGGTGATAGGCAGCAGGGGGGGGGAATGCATCGACCCCTGATCGCCCAGTGATGGCCGATATGGGGTCTGATGGCCCCACCCCGCCCAAGAGCGTGCGGTTTTGCTATGGGGCCCCTATCGCCGATCTAGCGGCGGTATACCGCCGGATGCAGGTCGATGCTTCCCCCCTCAAGTCGGGACGGACATCGGGGAACAATCAATGACACAAACATACTACACCTGAGAAAATCCCAATCAGTGGATGATTTGAACCTTGATACTATGGATCTGGAGATCGATTGTGATCGGAGGTTGGGGGTGAGATCGAAGTGGAACAGAGAGCCCCCCTACCGGGAAATCGATTTCGATTTCGTGTTCGTGCGTGCCGTGCGGGCGAGGCGAAGCTGCGTGGGCGGGCGAGAGGAAAGTCTCCTGTGGCTGAGGCGCGGCCGGACCAAATGATTCTCCGCCGGGCGGCCGGTGGCGCGCGGTGTCCCGCCGGTGTCCCGCGGTGTCCCGTCGGTGTCCCGATGATGATTGATGATGATTATGATGATTATGTGATGATGGTAATGATGATGATGATGATATGATGATGATGATGATGATGATGATGATGATGATGATGATGATGATGATGATGATGATGATGATGATGATGATGATGATGATGATGATGATGATGATGATGATGATGATGATGATGATGATGATGATGATGATGATGATGATGATGATGATGAATGATGATGATGATGATGATGATGATGATGATGATGATGATGATGACGATGACGATGACGATGATGATGATGATGATGATGATGATGATGATGATGATGATGATGATGATGATGATGACGTCGATAGTGATATCGATTGTGAGATCGGTAGTGAGACCGAATGAGACATCGAATGAGGTCTTCTCTCAGGTTCTCCTCCACCACGCACAGTGTTGCGCCGCTTCCGGGGCCGATCCACGGTGCAATGTCGCGCCGCACCGAGGCCCCTGAAGGACGTAGAGAAGGCCCCCGTATCTTGATTATTGTCTCTGGAGAGCCCTGCTCGCGTTCTGGCCCGTGCCATCTGAGCAGGGGCAGAGCAAGAGGTAGATCGAAGCTTTCCGCTTAGCGGGGTTCGGCTCAAGCAGGGTACCTCGTCCTTGCCGCGCCACTCCCGCACTCGTTTTGATCCGCCCAGTACAGTCACCACTGTTGCCCAACCTCCTTATCACCCGTAGGGTGGTCGTATAGGTATCGATCGTGTAATCGATAGTGAGGACGATTGTAAGGTCGATCGTGAGACCGAGAGTGACATCGATTCAATGAGATCGATAGTGAGATCGATCGCTAGGCTCGGCGAAGGCCGCTGGGCCAGCCTTCCCCAGCGGCGCCCGTCTCTCGGGCGGCCTGGGGGGAGGAGGGGAGGGGACGGGAGGGGAGGGGGAGAGAGGGGATGGGAGGGGAGGGAGGAGGGAGGAGTGAGGAGGGAGGAGGGAGGAGGGAAGAGGGAGGAGGGAAGAGGGAGGAGGGAGGAGGTTGGATGAGATCGACGGTGAGATCGACCCCTTCAGTGCAAGCACTGCTTGGGGAACAAACCTGGAGGTCCGCGCAGATTCCTCGGCTCGGTGCGGGAGAGCCCCCCGGCGGCCCCCCCCCTTCGGCGCCGCCCCCGGCGCGCGCTCCGCTCGCCGGAGAAGGGTGCCGGCGCCGGTCCGAGAAGTCCGCGCGGAGCTCCGAGTTGTCCACGTTTGTGTCATTGTCTGTTCCCCTGGGGCGGCCGCAGTGGGTCACCACCCACCAAACCACCCCAACCCAACCCGAAGGCCTTCATTTGCCCTCCATTTCAAGTGGGGGTGGGTGGGGGAACATTGAGAAAACACATATGGAACCCGTACCGTACCCCCCCCCAGCCCGAAATTTGGGTCTTCGGGCCAGCGCCGGTCCGAGAAGTCCGCGCGGAGTTCCGAGTTGTCAACCCTCCTCCTCCTCCTCCTCCTCCTCCTCCTGCTCCTCCTCCTCCTCCTCCTCCTCCTCCTCCTACTCCTCCTCCTCTTCCTCTTCCCCCCTCCTCCTCCTCCCCCTCCTCCTCCTCATCCAGCGCCAGCTCGGGTCGAGCCTCCGCTCGTTCCGAGCCCGCGCCGCAGGAGCCCTTCCGCTCCTCCCCCTGGGGCGGCCGCCGTGGGGACGGGAGGAATGGGGACGGAAATCAGCAGCCTGTCTTGCCCACTGCGCACCCAGAATGCAGCCTCTTGATAAAATCAGGACGGAGGTTTGTCTTTGTTTTCGGCCTCTGGGGGCCCTCGCCGGGCCGCGGGACCATCGAAGAGCGGCTCGGGAGATAAAACTGTTCCTGGAGAAAGGTTCGGGATTTCAAGGAAATACGTAGTGAGCCAGTCAAGACTTCGCTTGTCTGGGAAGAATGGGGACGTCAGAATGGTACCCTCTACTTGGGACAACAAGTCACCTGCCCAACAGCTGCCGCCGTCAGTGTTGGACAGCACGTGCTGTTATTGCATCGAATATTGACTGTCCGCACTCATTTCAAGGGCGCCGCGGGGTCCCACCCTCAAATGCCGATTCTCGAACCTCGGTCTCTCCTCTGGGGGCCCGGCCCCCAGATCCCTTCGCTGGGTCAACCCTTGCCACATTTTCATCCTGGGTGGAGGTCAGCGTACTAATATTATGTGTGCGTCGCCCCTCAGGGGCGACGCGCGCGCCGAGACATCTCATAGTATACGCTCTGTTGCGCGGGCGCTCTCTGGCCACGCTCGGGAAGCGATGAGTTACAATATGGCTGTATTACATATTCGGGTCGGACGCACGCCTCCGAGGAGGACGCGCAGGATCAGTATGTCCTGCTATGTCCCGGGGTGCTCGCGCCACCCCTGGCACAGACACTCAGAGCAGGTCTGGCGTTTGTCCGCCACCCCGAGGCCTGGCAGTCCCGGATCAAGACGCTGCAGAAGCTCGGGGAGCGCGAGGCCCGAGCCCCCCCTTTGCCGCGCGCGGAGGGCCACGAAAAGGGAGCGCCTCGAGGGGGGCCGTCGGGGCGCGCGAGGGGCCGCACGCAGAACTCCAGCGTCCCGAGGAGAAGCAGAATGGGGAGAGCGTGTTTTCATTCCCAGGCGATGCCGGGCGTTACCGGGGGGGAGGGGAGATGGTGGTCGGGAGTTTTGAGACGGGGGTCAATCAGGCGGTCGCAAACATGGATCAAGGGCCAAGGGGACGGGGATTAGCGACGGGTCCCGTTTCCATAGGAATCGCAGATTTCTTCCGCCGCCGAACGAGGCGGCACTGGTCGCACGTTGAGGAGGGCACCTTCCCCGATCCATGGATTTGGCGACTGCGCGCCAAATCCATGGATCGCTAGTCCATGTTTGCGCGCCCCCGAGTCAATGCAAGCGGGATCAGCCAGAGCGCCAGTTATTGCAGGATCCTGCAGAACCAGGGGTGCATTGACCAGGGCTTGCGTGCATGATCTCGCTGGATTGTGCAGGATCGTGAAGGATTTTGCATAAAGCCTGACTGGCCTGGGTTTGCATTGGCCTGGGTCAGTAGATCTCCAAGGTGGGCGGGGCAGGTAACGTCACGTTCCGCGTTGGCGCCGTCTTGGAATGTCTAGGGACAAACAAGATACAGTTCGGACGTCAGCACGAATCGTGACGTTACCTGGGAGAGAAGGGGGGATGGGTGCGGCCTGGGCCGGTAACGGCTGCGATCGCGAAAGATGAGAGAACGCTCTCAAGTTGATGACGCCCTTCCATAGGCCCGCCTGTGGCCCAGGAGTCGACTGAAACAGTGTTTTCGGCTCTCGTCTGGTTTTAGTGTCATTTCCTTTTGCTCTCAATCTGCCAGTGCTGTACAGCGAAGTCGGCACGCGGAGTCGAAACGAAAACAATAACGGCGCACGACATCGCCCAAACACCGTTGGGGTCGACCCCCGCTGTGGTGCCAGAGGGCCTGCGAGGGAGATGTGGCGGCGCCCGCAGGGGGGTGGGGCGCGAGGGTAGCGGCCTTGTAATCAAGAAGGCGGAGGGGCTTCTTAGAAGGCCCCCGAGGCTTCCAGGATGTCTCCAGAGGTCTCTGGATGTTTCCGGGCGTCTTCGGAATCGGCTGGGAGCGCTCGAAGCACTCGAGGAAACTGAGGAGAGCTCCCGGAAACTCAGGATGCCTCATGCGACAGTGGCGCAGAACGGCGGAAGGTCCAGGCCGGAAGGTGGGGAGGGAGCGGGTCGCGGGTCACCGCTTCTCTCCCGCCCTTTTTTTAGAAGGCCGGCCCCACGTGCCACTTGCGGGCGCCGCCGAAGGGAGCCCCTGGCCGCGAAATCTGCGCCAACGACCGGGGGCCGAGAGCACCCCGGAGCCTCAGGCGGCGAGACGGGCAGGCCAGTGGGCGAGGGCGCGGCGCTCTCCAAGGCAGTCGCAAGGGGTCATTTGAGGATCGGTCCTCCCCTCCCTGCTCCTCCGCCACCCCCCTCCTCTCTCTCCCTTGTTCTTTCTGCTTGCGCATGGCGTGATGGGGTCACTTCAGGGGTTCCAGGTCCGCTAGGAAACCCGTCGGCGGGCATAGATTTTCCTTCTCTCCTCCCTCCTCCTTGTCTCCTCCGCCCCTGGGGGTCAAGACGCTGCCTGACTGCGATGGAGTACTTCCCCAAGACGAAACGGCATAAGGGTAACCATTCGGTCGGAGGTCCGCGGTAAACATCAGATCGGTGCTAGCACCCCCGCACGGCATGGGAGGGAGGTCCAGCGCCGACCAAGACGCCCTCGCGGACCTCATAACGTTGATTTGTATGCCGATGTGTACTCATCCAGGTAAGGATGGAGTATTCCATCAAGGCTGCACTCGCCGTTTATTTGCTGCAGGATCCCGAAAGGCTTTCACCCGGCGCCGCCGCAATTGGGTAAGCATGGGCCTCCAGGGATCGTGATACCCCACCTTGCATCCTTGCCCCGGTGTGATGAGGGAGGAGGAGGAGGAGGCGGAAGAGGAGGGGTACGTAGGAGGAGGGGTTCGTCGTAGGAGGAGGAGGAGGAGGAGGAGGAGGAGGAGGAGGAGGAGGGAGGAGGAGAGAGGAGGAGGAGGAGGAGGAGAGGAGGAGGAGGAGGGAGGAGGGAGGAGGAGAGGGAGGAGGAGGAGGAGAGGAGGAGGAGGAGGAGGAGGAGGAGGGAGGAGGAGGAGGAGGAGGAGGAGGGGAGGATGTGAGGATGGAGGAGGAGGAGGAGGGTGAGGAGGAGGAAGTGATGATAGAGGATGACGGAGGATAATGAAGAGAGAGAGAGAGAGAGAGAGAGAGGTCGGAGGAGGAGAAGGAGGAGGAGGATGAGGAGGAGGAGGGGGCAACTGCGATGTCATTAGCGAGTACGGGGAGGAGGACGACGGCGGCAGGAGTCGGCCATGGAGATTTTCGGACGTAGATCTTTCGCCCTGAGAGCCTTTGGGAATAGGCTCCTCTTAAGACCCCTTTTGTGAATTGTTGACGCTCCGCGAATCCCCACCAGCGGGTCTGGCTTGTGTTCGTTGATTGTCCACCTGTGGCAGCTTCTCTTCCGCTGGCATCCGTTCAGAGTTTGTGCAAGGTAATCTTCTGGCCTCGTCTTTTGCCGTGCATTCGCTACAGCGGCCCACGTGCCTCTGCAGCCAATTATTTCGCTCTGTGCCCCAGAACGTTAGTCCCGCTCGCTGGATCTGTCTTTCGAGCCGCCGAACAAAAAAGAATCCCCACCAGCAGGTCCGTAGGCTGGCTCAAGCTTGGCTCAAGCCATCAGCGGGCTCCTTCGGTTCCCACCGCCACCCCCTCCGACCGCGCGAGCACCCTGGTCGCAATGGGGGAAACCCCGGCGTGCTGCGTCTGCCTCGCCACCTCTGCGTTGGCGCAGGGGGTCTATTCGGTCAACCTCGTGCTGTGCTTCGTCGTTGGGATCGCGCTTGGCGTAGTGGTCGCGTTTTCCGACGAGGAGAGTGCCGCCCTAAGGGGGCTGTTGTTTTCCATTGGCCTCGTCGTCATCGTGACCGCTATCGTCATGTCCGCGTCCCGGGTGTGTGCGCCGTGCTGCCGCGAGGGGCTGGAGGAGGCTGGCCCGTGCTGCCCGTGCAACTGCTTCCTGCACCTTGTCACGCCGCTGTACGTGTACGCGATGGTTTATATGATGACCGTAAGTTTTGAAGAGGTCACTCCCATGCTGCACCTCAGGCTACTGAGGCTGATTCCGCCTGGCCTGTACCTCGCCTCGGTCGTTTGTGCAATCGTCAAGCTGTGCTTCATGAAACAGCTGTGCTGCCTAGACCTTCTGCCGAAGATCGATTCGCCCACCACCCCACTGGCCGAGGACGCCCCCGTCATCCTCGGCCAGCCCGTCTCCGACGGGCCCCCCGAGGTCGCGACCTGAGCCCCCTGCGGCAGGCCTGCCGCCGCGGCGGCTCCGCGGCAACCAGCCTTTTTTTTTTTTGCCGCCGCCGCCGCCGCTGGCCGCCGCCGCTGGCCCGAGAGTCGCGCCTCGGACGTCGGCGGGCACCGCCGCGGACACCTGGCCCGTCGGGCCGCCGCCCGGCAGGCCAAGCGTCGGCGTTGCACCTTCTCCGCCGCGACACCCGCGAGGCGCTCTCGTGATCTGCCGGCCGGCCCCCGCCCACCACCCCTCTACAGGGGCTGTTGGCTCACGCGTTTGCCATGGCCAACTTGGGCGTAGGTGCTAGCCACCCTTGGCAGTGCTGCCCTGCCCGGCCAGATCGCTGTTCCGCACTCTTGAACCAGCCAAGGCCGGTACATAATGCATCCAGTCTGGTCCTCCCCGAGTGCCCGACGCAGCGCGCATCAGTTTGCCATGCCCAACCTGGCGAGGGCTGCCAAGCCAAGATGAGGGCAGCTTGCGACTTGGCCATCGAGATCATGAGGCTCAATCCGAACCAGTGCTGGCACCCTTGAGATTGAAAAACCAATCAGCCCTGACTGCGCCCCAGCTCTCCATGAGCTGGTCGCGGCTGCAGCGTACCTCGGCGACATTCGTGGCCGATATTCGCACGGCGGCAGTGTACCAGCTCTTGGGCCTGCGTGTCCTCTCTCATCGTTGCTTCCCTGGCCTGTCATTGGTTTCGGATACGATGACTGACACACAGGCCCCCCCCCGGGCAGCGGTGTGGATCGTGGAGTGAGTGCTCTGTAGGTCCCTGCCGTTCCTTCGCCCCTGTCTCCGCCGACCCCGCGTACAGCGGTGGTACGGACTTCGCGCTGAGTGGTTCAGCCTTCAGCAATGTAGTTTCGGTTCTCCCTGCCCACTTTCGGCTAGAGGAACTGCTCGGAGCTTGGCGCCGACAGGGCGACTTCTCCGTTGCACTCGCACTGCGGTCTGCTTCACTTCGGTGTGGCTGGCGCCTATGTGCGTTCGCTTTAATGCGGAGCATAGTTTGCTCAGTGCATGTGCACTTGCAGGTGCGAGCTTTGTCCGCCGACTCTGGCGGCAAATTGTCTTGCAAATTAGCCCCGTACCGTGTCCCGGACGCCGCTTCCGCTCCCTGCCCGTTGCCTCGGAGCCGCTGACCCAACAAAAAATCTCCAACAGCCCATCCAGAAAAGATGCCCAGAGGAATTGCCTCGATCAGGAAGCCAATCTGAGACATCTTGGGATATCTTGAGCCATCTTGGAGGTCATGTTGGGCTTTCCCAGGCGCTCTTGGAGTCATCTTAATCAGTGCCCCCCCCTCAAGAGGCCAACATGTGGCCAAATCCTTTTTGTAAAATCGATGATATGGTATTCTCGCCGAGGCCTCTTCGAGCATCTTGGGTGCCTCTGGAGGGTCTCTTGAGGCCTGTTGGGGGTCTCTTGGGAGCCTCTTGGGGGCATCCTGGGGGCCTCTTGGGGCTTCCTGGCCACCCCTTGGGGCCCTCATGGGGCATCTTTGGGAGCCTTGAGGGTTATCTTTGGGCCATATTGGGTGAGATCGATCACGGGAGGGGGGTTACAAATTACAGTCCCCCCCACCAGGAGGCCAACGTGGGGCCAAAATCTTAGTAACACCAGTGGTTTTGGCTTCCTCGCCGAGGCCGTTTTGGACGCTCCGACGACTCGTGGAACCCCCCGTCCAGGTCCATTGGAGGGGGTAGGGGGAGTTTAAACCCCTCCCCGAACGGGAAGAAGGAGGGGTGGAAGAGGAAATGCCCTAAACCACCGACGCCCAGAGGGCTGGTGGGATTTTAGCGAAGGGGGGGCTGGAGCCCAATATCTCCGCTCTGGGGGTCGCCTTGGGCTGCTCATGGGGATCGTGTCGGCGATCTTGGTGTCATCTTGAGGCATCAGAGGTTCATCGAAAGCGAACAGGAAACCCAGCAACATGACACACACACACACACACGCTCGCGCACACACACGCAGTTTCGACGTGATTCCGAGGCTCTCGTGGATCTCGTTTGGGCGCCCCGTGATCACTTCGTGCCATCTTGGGGTGGTCTTGTTGGACTCTTGGTAGCAGCTATGATGACATGTAGCCGTGTTGGATCATCTTGCGCCATATGTATCTACTTGACGCTATCTTGGAGCAGCCATGGCCCGAGCGCCCCCCTCCCAGGGATGCACCTGAGAGCGTTGGCTTCGAGAGAAGGGGCGGGCCTACTAATTAGCAACGCCGCCCTGGAGCCCGAGGAATCGTCTCGTGGGTTCCCCTTGGGGACCTCTTGGACCCATTTTGAGTCCTAAAAAAACCCATCGGACGCGAAAGGTCGATAAGGCGCACATCATTGATTCTCGTCAGGTTTGAGAGGCCTCGTGAGGCTCCGTGGCCGTTTGGCTCGCGAGCCACTTCTGTTCACAAGCTGACCTAACCTGGCATGTAGCGCTCATAGGCACGTCGCGGTGCTCGCACGCTCTTCTTGTGCTTACAGGCGAAGTGTGGTGTTCACAGGCTCTTTAGCTGCTGGCACGAGCTGGATTGCTGATGTGCATCCATGTGTTGCTGGTACTGCGATACCCGGCAACCATATTCGCATAACTGTGTTGATGGTGTTTGCACGCACATTGTGGTGCTCGTAGTCGCATTGTGGTGCTCACTGGCTACCGTGGTGCTCGCAAGCACTGCGGTGGTCGCAGACTGTTCTGGTGCTGGCACAGTCTGGCATACAGATGTGCATACGAGTGATGCTGCTGATGTTCGAAAGCCCACTGTGACGCTCGCAGGCACGCTGAAGCGCTCGCGGGCTATTGTGATACCAGTCTGGCGTATTGTTGTGTGTAGCGTGGCGCTCGCAGGCTATTGTGGTACTCGCAAAGACCAGCTCCCCTCGCCCTCTGCTGGTTAGAAGGGAGCTTTATAGCTCTCGGGCACGTCTGTTCGCAGGCTGGTGGTGGTGCTCGGAAGTGTACTGCGGCCCCGCGGTTTTTGACCTGCTGTCACACTGGACTGGGACATGCCCAGTGCGCGCAAACCTCCAGTGTTCTGGTGCTGCACGCGCGCGGTTTCCGACCTCGCGCGCGCCACCAGGCTGGTACTGGCGTCGTCGGCCATGCTCGCGCCCCCCCGCCCCGCCCCCGTTACCGCTGCCCCTCGCCCCGCACCTCTCTCACCCATGCCCAAGGGCGCCCTCGAGGGCGCGAAGTTACTCGCGCTTCGCGGTTCGGCTCCGATTCCTCCTCATCCTCCTCTTCCCCCCCGGGGAGGCGGCGCGGGAGCGCCCAGGTATTCGCACTTCGCGCTTCGCGCTGCGCGAAGCGCGAAGTTGGGAGCCCTCGGTCACCGCTGCCCCTCGCCCCGCACCCCTCTCCCCCCTCACGGACGCTGGGGCCGCTCGGGGGGGGGAGGCAGCAGCCGGCGGTGCGCCGAGAGGGGCAGCGAGGGAGTGCAGGCCTTCTCGGAAGGCCCCCCCGGCTTCTCGAGGCGAAGGCTTCACAGGGCTTCTCAGAAGGCTGGAGGCTTCACAGAGCTTCTCAGAGCCTCTGAAGATGAGGGCCACACAGAGCTTCTCAGAAGTGTGGAGGCCGTCCGAGCCTTTCGAAGGGCCTGCCCTCCCTCTGCCTCTCCCCCCCCCCCTGGCGCGCCGTCGAAGGCAGCGCTCGCGGTTGCTGGGGGCACCTGGTTCCCAGACGGCGCTGGGCGCAGATCGTGACGTGACCCTCCCTTTGCTCCACCCCCCCCGCTCGTTGTCGCCACCGCCGCCGCCGCCGCCGCCGCCGCCGCCGCCGCCGCCGTCGTCGTCGTCGTCGTCGTCGTCGTCGTCGTCGTCGTCGTCGTCGTCGTCGTCGTCGTCGGCGTTGTCGACCTCTCCCCCCCAACCGCGAGATTCGCGCTCATATCACACAGAGATCCAAAGTGCATCCCATGCTCTGTCCCAACCGCCGTGCTCTCCTCTCGTGGGGCCGCTCTTCTGGACGCGCGACGCCCTTGTGCGCCTTATGACGAAAAGGGTGGGGGGTGGTATGGGTCAGGTCGGGTGGAGCATTTACACCTTGGCGCCCCTGTTGCTAGATACCGCGTGTTTCTGCCAGCAGCTAGCGAGTGCCGCACCAAGCTGACCGCCCCCTCGGCGAATCAGAGCGCAATTCGAAAATTCCCCCCCTCTTGGAGGCGCCTGTCGTTTCCAGATGTTTGTCGTTTCCTGCTTGTCTTTTTGCAGAGAAGGACCACACAACCCAGAAGACTTCGGCGGAGGACGAGGAGAGCCCTGGCGGCGGCCGCGCCGGCGGCACGACGGGGGGGTGGGCTGGGCCCGCCGCCTCGGCCGAGGTCGGGGAGGCCAACAACATCCTGGAGTCCCACAGGCCCGTGGTGGACAGCCGCGAGATGAGGACGCCCCGCGGGGGGCGCGATGCTCGCGCCGGAAGCTCAGGAAGAGGGGCGGAGGTAGCCATCGGTCGAGGTATTTTTGGACCCCCAGAGTCCAATCTACTGGAGCGCCTTCCTACTTCAATGATCGAGTGGCTTCACCTGTTCCGTCCTCCTCCTCCTCCTTCCTCCTCCTCCTCCTCCTTCCTCCTCCTCCTCCTCCTCCTTCTTCTCCTCCTCCTCCTCAGGGGGCGGGCGGACACCCAATTTATTTTCAACGCCCTCCTGCTTAATGTTTCTAGCCACTTCTTCCGATCGATGGGTGCCGGTGGCCGCCGCACGCCTGCATCATCTGCACCCCTCCGGGCTCTCTGGGAGGTCCTCGTCTCCGGGTGCCAGAGGCCGCTCGGGTCCTCCTCCTCCTCCTGGTCTTCCTCCTCCTGCTCCTCCTCCTCTTTTTGCTCCCCCTCCTCCTCCTCCCCCTCCTCCTCCCTCCTCCTCCTCCTCCTCCTCCTCCTCCTCCTCCTCGTCCCCTCACCGGTGGATCTGCCTCGGAGTTCTGGTCCGAACGTACCCTGGGAGAGGTCAGGGCAATTAGAAGCGGTATCAGTCTGTTTCCCCAGCTCAGAACAGAAAGGCGGCTTCAGCGTAACATTCGGAGTTCCGCGCAGATTTCTGTGATCGGCGTTGGGCCCCCTCGGCGGCGCCTCGAACGCCTCCCCTGGCGCGCTCCGCGCTTACGGGAGGAGGCCCCAGCGCAAGTCCCAGAAATCCGTAATTACGGACCTCCAACAGCACGTGTTTAGGTTGTTTTTCCTCTTCCCGGGACGTGTCTTGGCTCTCCACTCCTCCGATTCGATTCGAGTCGATTTCGATGGCTTCCGATTCCGATTCGATTCGACTTGGGATTCCGATTTGAGTTCCGATGTCTTGTTGCACGCAGACTGGCCTGCCGATTTCCGCCGATTCGACTTTCTCCGCCGATGCGACTTTCTTTCCGACTCGCCTGCTGATTTCTGCCGGTCCGATTCACTTCGATCGCCGATCCGACTTATCGATTCGACTCTGGGCTTTCCTGCGTTCAGCTTGAGGCCGCCCCAGGGTTGCGATGTTCCAACCGACTTTAGTCTTGATCACCAGAAAGAATTTCGAGCTCAAAAAAAGTACTGAAAATCC